AGGTGGCCATATCACATCTTATTTCCAGTGTGGCCAATGATGGAAGGAAACGAAGAACGACAATGGTCACTTTGGAACACGACGACCGTACGTGTGATCTATGGGCAATGAAGAGCTAAAGAGACACGTGTTACCGAGTATTGCATATTTTCTCGTTGGCAAAGAACCTACGTCTTTGGTACATCTTCATATCGACAGGCGACTGGGGTAAGGGGAGGGTGATCACGGCACAATACGAGTCAGTTCAGCAATAGAGCATCCATTCTACAAAAAAACACAATTAGATTAGCTCTTCATAGACAAACTTGGGGTTTGCCAGCCAAGGTAAGATCGGCTCTATTTAACATCTTGGCACAGCGCAAATGGTAAGGTCCTTCTCGTGAAACCAACCCATCAGAATTCAAGTCCAAATCTTAGATTTGGCCTATTGGTCGGCGATGTGTGTTCAGTGGGAGGAGATATTACCGTTGACTATGAAGGCGTCTATGATGACTTCATCAATTTTAAGACAATATGCCGGTTCAGTCTCTCGGAGGTGCTCATAGGGGTAGAGTGCGAGCGTTTGTGTGCTTATAGTGGTGAGTGTATGTGTGTGTCTATATGAGCATCTGTGTGTGTATTGTGATAAAAATAACATCCTGACAGGAACACTACTTATAAAACATGTAAATGAGCTTCTGAACATGCAATTTTCTGTTAATATGTGCTAACAAATCTTTACTTAACATGCAAAATTCAGTTACATGCTCATTCAGTTAGCCTGTGTAAACATAGCTTCACATCACAAGCACAATTCAGTTAACTAAATTTAGTACACATGCTGATACAATTCATATATCTTTGGCCAACACTTATTTTCAGCAAAATTAACTGACAGTCTACCAGAACACTGCGCATGGCCTTGTTAAAATTAAACACTTATTCTGTTACATGTCAATTTTAGTTACATAGACATGGGCCATTCGGTTCATATCTGTGATCCGTCACATTACTATTTTCCGAAAATTCCATCAAAACCACTCTTTTAACTATCCTAACATGCCACGTTACGACAACGGTAGCACAAACTCCTGAAAACCCTCTCTTAAACCACGGACACAGCTGTTGCGCAGACAAATTCCCAAAAACCATCCCTTTACAATTGTTGAACACATACCGCATCAACAAACCATGGCCTTTGCGACAACTAGACCATGTAAACGATCGAGGACAAAGAAAAAGGCAAGTGTTGCGTCCTTAGAACAAGGGTGATTATTTGGGGCAGCGGAAATAAGAGACCCACCGTAGATTGGAGGAGCCTCACTCTACAGCCGATTTGCGGCTTCACCATGCTTCGACTCGACCAAGAAAATCCCGGTCAAAATCGTTGCCGCCAAGATCTTCTCGTGTCGTGGTGAAAACCCTAGCCAGCTAGCCTATCATCACCAGAATCACCGGTGTCTCCTCCTTCCTCTCCCTTTCATTCTCTTTCTTTCTTTCCTCTTCAAGTGGGTTTCACAGCATCGATGGAACCAGCCAACCAGGTGGACGTGGGGGGTTAAATGCAAAATTCTAGTGAGAATGTGCGGTATTTTTCCTCTACACACCGTGGAAAATGCCACATGCTCGTACTTATGACCCCCAATGAACCACAAAAGATAGGTGGCAGTAGCTGCATTTTTACTCTGAAAATAAAAAAACGATAAAGGGCGGATTTTATTGGCTCAAAACAAAGTATCAAAAGAATACAAACATGATGAACACACACCCGGCCTCTGCATAGTTATGATGCACACAGCCAACACTAACACACAAAAGCACATGCAGGCAAATAGGCGAGGCAAAAAAAGAAATGTAAGTGATCCGATCCTTGATCGGCAAACTATAGGAAAGACCATATACGCACCAACCATTTCATGACAACACGTGAACGACGAGATTCTTCAACAACAACGCGTTCACAAAGGGAGCGACGCTTAGGCGTCTGCGTCATCGGATCCAACCACCGAAGGATAGAATCTAGGTTTTCACCCTGAAGAAACGTTTCGAGCATATTCGAGCAATGCCTTCAACAAGGTAACGACGTATGAATGTCGCCATTGCCAGGTATAACCAACTCGGGTCAGACCTGAGTTTTCACCCCGGAGCTCGATACTAGGTGCTCGAGAAGCACCACCATTGTAGTCATTCATGTGACGCCACCATCACTCTTCCTCAATCCGAGCAGCTACACGCGATACGAAGTTCGTCCAAAACCACCCATGTTCCAACTCGAACATGACCTATGCGTCTGATCCTCTCACACACCAAACAAGAGCGGGGTTGTTTGCCGAGGCAGCCACCATCGATCGATCTTCCAAAAACCAAAACCTCTGCCTTCCTTGTGCAATCCCCATCCATCACCCTGTCCTGTCCCACATGTGGATGTGGGGATGAACGAACGAACGAACGAAACAACGAGCCAACGAGATCACAGGTGGGGCATGCGCCCCCGCCCGAAACCTTTGTTTACTGCAAAAGCGCCCTGGGCACCACCACCGCAGGCCGGGTCCCCGCCCGCCCGCAGCGTCATCACAATTCCCATGACGCGTCACGCCGCACCAATGGCCGTGTCAGAAGGCAGCAGCATCATGCTAGCAATCCTAGGCCTGCGGCGGCGATGGATCCGATCGATCGGTGACGCCGGCGACGTGACCCCTCCTCACTGCTCCTGCCTCCACGAGACGAAACTTCCGAACAGTGTCGTCCTACCTACGTAGCCTAGGTAGCCAGGGACCTCTCGCCTCTCTCTTTCTTTCACACGCCCCCTTCTCAGAAGAATCCACCAAGCTGCCGATGGTGAAAGTGAAACACGCCATTGATTTGCAGGAGCGAGGAATCTTCGTGCCGCCTGCCTCCCAGAGCACAACGCATGGCATGGCACGAGAAGAAGCGTGTCTCCACTCACTATTTACTTGCACATTCCCGGCCGGGCCTACGTGCCAGCCATTGTTGTGAGTTAATGGAAAACGTACATCGGGTACGTACGAACAAGCACGAAAGAAAGCTCCACGCCACGCCACATGGGCTGCCTCCACTAATGGAGCTCTGCCTCGCCGCTCCTTTTCTGCGTGCCGCCCCTTTCCAAGGCCTACAAATCTATCCATTTCCATTCCAAACACGGGTCCCTCTCGGGGCCTTCCAAACTCTCGTACGCTTCCTTTTACTCCCATGGCGAATTAGCACGGGGATGCCGAGCATATAACCCCCAAAAATGACCACCAGAATCCAAAGCGAGCGGTAGGGCCCAAAACAAATAAGGAGAGAGGAGAGGGCAACTGACAAGCGAGGGAGGAAAAGGAACGAGGCAGCGGTGCCGGAATATTTGTGGATGGATGCGCCCATTATTGTGGCTCTGATGTGCCTTGCATGATTGCGGCTACTCTCTCTACATAGATGGCCATTGCTAGCAGGAGCACCCGTCTTTTTCACGGGAATAAAGAGGATGCCCGATGCGATTCGGATTCACCAACAACACCAGAGGAAGAAGCAATGGGGCAGGGAGAGAGAGCTCTGATTAAAGTTGGTTGGCTGCTCAGGTCCCCCCGCTTCAAAAATTTGTTCCATTTTTATTTATATCCATGGTGGTGATCCGGCCGAATCCGCCTCGGCATCCAAGAAGCTTCTCATGTCGTCATCCCGTCATCCTCTTCCCTACCGAGACGAGCAGAGCAGAGCAGATCACCGCAGCCTGCTGCTCTAAGGCCAACTCCACCGCACGACCCCAAATCGTCCGGGGTCGTCCATTTGAGATAAAACGAACAAAACCAACGACCCAACGCGCAACCCCATCTTGCCTTTTTGTCCGTTCAGTGCCCGCTTCGACCCCATATCCAGAGCAAACTTGGAATGGATTTGAGGCAAAGCGGACAGCCCGCCTGCGTCCTCGCGTCCGCACATGGCCCGCATGGCAGCCACTTGCCCCTGCTTTTGTCCCCTTTCCCTCTCTCTCCTCTGTTGGACGCTGGAGCCACCTGCCCCTGCGACAACGAGCTCGGGGTGAGCGTGGCGTGGCCAGGGCGAGCCTGGGCCGGAGCTCGGGGCGAGCGTGGCCG